CAAAACCAAAGTACCAAATAGAGAGAGACAACTAACACAACTACCGGAACTCCCCCCCCCCCCCCAATATTTAACAAAAGAGATGAACAATGTTAGTCCCTGCTCAGCAGGAGCTGTGAAATCATGATTACCCAACTAATCAATACATTCTTTAGAATTAGTGATCTTTCTGATTTTCATCATACTTAATTACCAATTAATTCAAGGTGGAGAATATGATGACGAGTTTAAGATGAGTTTAAGGTGTAGTATGATGAAATTTTATCAATAATTTCCGTAGCATTGACTCTCAACTCTGAAATCTTTCATCAAAGGAGAAGAATGAGGATCCAAAGAAAGAAGACAACATATATGAATAAATGAAAACAGGACAAACTCAAATGAATTGGATCTTGCACTTGGAAGAAGCTGTCTGGAGGAGCTTTGTTAGTTCATCCGCGTACTTTTTATCTCCATTATCAACTTGGACCTTCACAACTTCAAGACACCTCAAATTCTCCATGAAATGTCTCATCTGTTTCAATTCTCTGCAACTTCCTCCATACCCATAAACCTTTAGCACCTTCGCTCCACACGAGGATAAACAACTTCTTTTCTTCTTCCTCTTCTTCCTCACACGTTTGCAAGGGCATACACCCCCACATCCTTTTGTAATCTTGTGCACAAGACCCTGAAAGGATAACAACAGCCATCAGACTTAGAAGAACATAACAGAACAAGAGAGAGAGATAATATAGATTTGTTAGTTCTCAGACCTTAAGGACTAGAGTTTCTAGGTTTGGAGATTTCTTGAGCAGAAGTGGCAATACTTGCCAATCACGTTCCTCGTGGCTCTCAAAAGATAACTTAACGAGGTTGTTGAACTCAGGCATAGATTTACAGCAGCAATGAAACACCTGATGATCAGATCACACAAACAAATTCATGGCTATAACTGAAACAACAAGTAAATATATGCGACTAAACAATATAAAACTACAAGAACAAGAAGAAAAGAAAAGAGAGAGCTAGAGAGACAGAGTAAGAAAGTGACCTCAAGAGAATCAGCAGACAAGTGGAGGGTCACAACATTCCTTATGGCTTCAATGAGTTTGGTTGCATCACCCCAGGCATCACCCTTTGTAGAATCATACCCATAATATTCATCTACTGGTGAGATATAATCATTATACTTCCACAGAATAAGATCCAGTCTAGCCTCGACAAGCGAATCCATTTGAAACTGATAATCTTCTGAGACATAGCTAGAGTAGTCAAGGTACACAAGACTTGGCGTCTCAATGATAACCGAGTCGTGGGCATCTAAATCATGAAAACGGTAAAAGATGGATAGTCTCTGGATGGGTGAACTCCAAATATATCTTCTCCAACCCCCCATTTCAAAAGGATCACCAGCAAATATGTTAACTTCCTCAAGCAAAGGGCAACAGGTGAGGAGGCAGTCATAAGGGTCGGCATCTCCAGAATCAAAACACACTTGAACGAAAGAGAGAGTTTTGAGTGCAGGGAAAAGCACACCGTCGGGAGGAAGAGTATCTTGAAAGTAACATCCATGGGAAAGAGTGAGTTTAACCAACGTCTTGCTGAAGAAGAACTCAGGCTTTATATATTGATAGGATGTTGATGACAAGTGTAGTTCCAGAGATCCGCGATCGAGCACATTGCGGATCAGATCGTTGTACCGTGAGTAGTCGATTTGAGATTTCCACTTCATAGAGAATTTCTTGATGGGAGAATCACCAAGCAATACAAGGGTTCTTTCCACGAAATCAAGGAAGCCACCACCATCACCAATAGTTGCTGATGTTCTTCTTTTGTTTGGATAAACGACCATGGACTCATCGAAATCAAGGTTTTCAACCAGAGGCAACAGATTCCTCCACCGTTTTGAGAGAACTGACGTGGAAGCAGCAAGTTTCGTAGGGATTAACGACAGGATCTGACCCAAAACCTCATCTGGTAGGCTATTAATTGAACAAGTTTCCACCTTTTTGGCAGCCATAGCCATACCTTAAAAACAGATTCAATCAATTTTCCCAATCTAACAAACTTAACAATGAGATTAACAAACTATACAGTTTTGTGTAATTTGATTATCACAGAGCAGAAACAAACATTAAATCACCTAAACTTGTAGATGACAAGAAACATAGATAACCTACCTTGGGAGAAAAGATATCGTGAAGGTTAGAGTTTTTTTTGTTTGATTTACTTTTACCAGAGAGCATAGTTTCCTTTTCTTTTCAATACACTTTTTTCTCCAGTTAATTAATTTAATAAATCCGAAACCATAAAAAAGTAAATTTACAAAGATAGATACTGTATATCTTTACAGATTTAAATTACCACATAGAAATCCAATAGAAAGATAATTTCACACAACAACAATAATTTTCTTGAGTAATTTGATAATTTCATGTAAAATAATCTCTATTGTGTGTATTATCTTTTGATGTATTTTATGTATTTTATTGAATGTATCATGTATGTGTTAAACTGATGTATTTATTTATAGAAGTTGTATCATCATATACTTAATTACTGTAAATATTGAGAATGCACATGTTCAAGTCAAGTATATATTGAGAATGCAGAATGCAAATATTAAGAAAGGAGTAACAGAGATCTTATCTGAAGAACAAAAACATATATATACCATAGCATTAGTACCAGTTGAAATACTAGAACAGCGATTCTGATTCCAGTTTAAGTTTTATATATGCACCAAAAAGAAACCATCCACAGCCTTTTAAAGAAATTCCTTGTTTGCATCAAATGTGAAATCATCTACCATAGTTTCACTACTTGGATGGTGGGCGCTTCATCTTGAGAAGATGAGAGATACCGGCAATGACATGAGCACGACTACTTGGAACTCCTGTCTTAGCCAAAGCTTGTCCATTTTTGTCCAGCAAAACAAAGCAAGGAACATACTTTATGTCATAGTGGAGAAGCTGCGAATATGAAAACAGAGAAAGGTGAAATCTTGAGTCTTACCAATCTACAAAAAGCTCTGTAATTAGTGTATGCAACGAGAAAAGAGAGGGAGCTTTTATTTATTATACCTCAGGAAACCAATTCTCATTCTCTGCGTCTGCCATTGTAATGCTGAGCCAATTTGAGTTCCTCTTCTCTACCTCTAAAACAAAGTTGAGCAACGAATTGCAGAGTCTGCATTTAGGTGAGTAAAATTCAAGTACTGTGGCTTCTTTCTGGCTGGCTAAAGCAGCTGCAAAAGCCCTCTGCTCTGCTTCTCCTTGCTCACTACTGCTTAAAGCCTTCTTCTTCGGTCTAAAGTTTGGATTTTGGCCAAGTGAAGTCAAGGAGCTGAGAGCAATAGAGCCAATACTTTGCATCGATCTGAAGATCCACGGTCCTTGAAAGTCGCAGGGGCTCGATGATTTGGGTTGATTGTTAGAATCCCATGGCCATTTCAAGCAAAAGAAAGGATCTTTCGAAGTAGACGAGTTCTTGGTGATCTTTGAATCCATCAAAGTGCCGTTCGACTTGAAATCCACAGCAACGATGCGATGATGAGACGGTGACTACAATTCAGTGATGATGATTAGAGAACGAGAGTGAATTTGAGGATTTCGAAGAAATAGGAAATTAGGGTTTTTTCTCTTTTTGTGATTTAAACCAACGGAATATTATTAGTTATGCCACTTTTTAAACTAAAAAAAACTGAGAGTGCCGTTTATTTTCTAGTATTTTATGGAGTGCCATATTAGTATAAATGGTATAGTTATAAAAGACAAAAATACTCCGGAAGAAAAAGACAAAAAAAAACTGACTTGAGATGAGACATTTTGACAGTTGTAGCATTAATTATAGACATTAATTAATAGACAATTTTTTTTTGTCCACACTCGATTATAGACAATTTTCTTTTTTATTCATCTAACACATGTATTGTGGACAAGTTCGTTTATGAAAAACTAGATTTATTTTACTATATACGTATGATGGACAATAAATTAGGAAACAAAAATTGACATATTACAGATATCGGATCTAGTCCACCGGATCTAGTCCATCTATACACAAATGTGTGATTCAAAGTGTACACCTAGATAGAACGTTGAAGGATATCTTCCATAAATGCATCATTTTTTTCATTTTCTACTCAATTATTTGTTGTTTCAAGAGATATGTAGGATAGACAACTTTGGTCTACCGATTCCGGCCCACCAGATCTGGTCCATCGGTATCTCGTCTGTCGGAACTGGTTTGCTGGATATGGTCCCCAGGAATTGGTCCATCAGATCTCGTATGTCGGCACTGGTCCGTCGAAACTGGTTATGCTACGAAACTGTTTATGGTCCATCGAAATTGGTCTGTCAAATCTTGTCCGTCGGATCTTGTCCGTCGAACTGGTTATGGTCCGCTGGAACTGGTACGCCGGAAAATGGTCAGCCGGAACTAGTCCGCCGGAATTGTAGAGAGATTTGTTGTTGAATAAAGTAAGAGAAGATGAAAAAAGAATAGATTAATAGAGATGAGAAATGAAAGAAAAGAGAGAAGGTTTTAGTTAAGGATAAAATTGTCATTTTAATGAGTTAAAAGTGGGTCATGTGGCATTGTAGAGGAGATTGAATTGAAAGTGGCATTTCTTAAAAGAAATAACACTGTTCGTGGCAGTGAGTATAATTTTCTCTTAAACCAACTGGTTTTAGTTAATTAAAATAAAATTTGGGTGTAAAACCAACCCAAATTGAGAAACCAAACCGAACCGTTTACTCAAAGCTTCGGTTTACTCTTTATTTTGGCGGCAGGCTGAGTAGCCTGTCAGCAGGAACTAGTTTCGCCAAATTCGTATAATAATCTCTTTTTTTTCTAAACACACAAGTTTATAAAAAGAATGCACGCACACTTTTGCATAAATCATACAACTGAGAAGAAACTTACGACTAAAAAGGTAAAACATGATCCTATTTATTTCTCGTATTCGTCTCACAAAAACCCTTGCAAGAAAATGAAAACTTTGGGGTTCCCTTCAGAGCCAGGACCTGAAAGCAAAGCAGCGAGCTTTACGTTTTCTCTGCAAGCTGGAGCTCTTACCTTTGTTTACGACCCCCTTCTCTTGTCCTGTCTCCTTCTCTCTATTCTCTTCTTGACCAAAATTACTCGTCTCTTCTGGTGTGACCGTCGAGTTTGAATGATCTTGCCTCTGTGATTTTTGAGGAACACTTAAAATGTTTTCTAACGAACTTACTTGCTTTGCCTTGTCCTCTGATCTATCAGGCGACAATTCCTCGGCTTCTTGGACAGGTGTTATATTTCTAACCATGTATATAACTCTATCTAGGGTCCCTAACGCTTGTTCTACCTCTGGACTCACGCAAAACTGTCTTCTCATATCAACATGAGCCTTGGTAATTTTATTTTTATCAACTGAAGAAACGCTTTCGTCAGAAGAATCTTCTTCTTCCTTAATCTCTGAAATAGTTTTTCTGTAGTGGACAGGTTTGATTTCACTAGCATCTCCATGATTATTGTGTTCGTTCTTTGGCAGAGAATTGCCATTTACTTGAGTGACTTCAAACTTTGGTCCTTCCTCGATGGTTTTATCAGTTGAATACAGAGCTTGACGTATCTTAGTGTACAAAGGATCATCTAAAGCTCTACTGTAATCTTCATCAAATTTAGCTACGGAAGCAACTGACTGTTACATTCAAATAAGAAAACGGTATCACGCATGTTACCTTGACACTGCACCAAAACATTGAAACAGCAAAACAAATTGTGTTTTCTGACCTTTTTGTAGAGTCTGAAACCGTTGTCAATGAGCTGCCTAGTTATAAAATTAATAAGAGATGGAGGCATCAAGTCCAGCTTTATATCCATATCCCCTATCGTTCTACAAATTTTGACAAGAGCTAGATTTTATTTTAGGCTCAATCAATGACAATTAGCATGTTCAATACTACAATTGTCACTAACCTGAAGTAACTCCTCTGTGGAGTAACCTTTTGTAAAACAAACCCGCCTACAAGATCCATTCTCACTGCATCCGGTGATTCAGGTATAACAATGTCCTTAGAGGAAACTCCAATGCTATCTAAATCAGAGATCTAAAAGTTCCAAACAAAAATCGATTTCAGATAATATCACATTTAATACCAAGGTAAGTTGAAAAAAAGGCGAGAAGGATTTAGCTTTACCGTGTTCAAAAGGATGACAACTAAGCCATCTTTAAAGAATTCAAAAAAGAAGTAATGCAAGATAACCTCTCTGTCCGTCAATGGCCATGGTACCTTCATCCTTTCTTCCCACAATACAGATATGTCAAGATTAGCTTCATAAGATTAATAGGTTACATACAAACTGAAAAACAAAGTTCCTCCTCATTCTCAAAATGAAACAAACCTCGCTAAACAAATCTGTTCACCAACTCCGACCTTTAGCAAGCATGAGCTTTTTAAGATCCTGAATGGCGGAAATGAAAACTGTGGCCACCTATATACAACATAACCATTAAAAAATGAGTAAAGTAAACAGTAGTCCATCGAGGCAATGAGAGATCATGTTGCTCACCATTTATTGTAGAGAGCTGTTTCCCAAGATACACATAAACCTGCATCAAAACTCACAATTAATATCACCTGCAGAAGCATCTTTAAACTTCGAATCAGCGGTATCAATCATAATAAGAAAAGAAAAAAACTTACATTCGTGGATAGGCCCATCCATGTAACCTTCAACAAGCATAGTATGAAAAGGACTTCCATCGAGCCCTTCACGGTACATCACACGGCAATCTTCAAGATCATGTTTCAACTGTAAGAAAAAAACTTTTTTGCTACATCGTTAGAATCAAAGATCAATCACCAGTGGACAAAAATAGAAAATGTTTGTGTGCTGAAGTCACATACTTTCCAATCACCATCGCTGGTTGATTTAGAGACATGAGGATCCGTCATGGATACACTGCTAATCTTGCAAAGTAACTTGGATACACCATCTGTTCTTTTATCCAATATATCCTCATTACACCCTACAAAATTCATCACACCAACCAAACAAAAAGAACCGAAGAATCTCTCAGAAGTGTGTTAATATAATAGTAGTCTTAATTCCCCAAAAGAATGATTCGAATAGCAGCAAAAGACAACCTTTAAGCTGGTTTCTGAGAAGAGATTTGAGAGAGTCGTGATTGGTGAGTTCAGGAGAAGACAAGGTCTTGTCCAATTTATCTCTATATTCACAGATCTCTTGTTTCTTCAGCATAATCTCAAGCTTCCACCTTTAAAATAACAAACCAATCCACAAAATCAGTAAGTGATAAGAAGAATTAAAATCCCCTGATTTGATCAAAAAAATAATTTTACAGAGAAAAGGAAAAAAGAGGATTAGCACAGAAAGCCCCAACCTCGAGGCGTTCTAGAAAAGCTGATTACTAGCAACGAGGAACAAAACGTGACCGACAAGACGGAGAAAGAGAGTGAGAAAGTTTTTTTTGTGGAATAGATATTTTTTCCTCTCGAGAAAATTCAAATCGAGGAAGTACAAATCCAGGAAAAGTCGGAGTTTCCAATAAAAGAAGGAGATGATGCGTAATGAGGGAGATTAATGTCGAGATTAGGCATAAGCTAGTTGAGAAATAGATAGGGTTTAAGGCAGTAGTGGAGGGGACGGATATGTGTCGGTGTCAGAAAAGAGTGAAGATAGGTGGGAAGATCTAATCTCTCTCTCCCTCTTATATTAATCACACAACTTCACTCTTTTTTTTTTTTTTTTTTTTGTCAAACACAACTTCACTCTCTATCTCATTGTTTTATGAACATATTACAGAACAAACAAAAGTGGCCATAAATAGGAAGGTGATGATAATACAGTTGAAACTAAAAAAAAACTTTGGGGGTCCTCCGTCTTAAATTTGGTATCTAGATTATTAAATTTAAGTAGTGCATATTCACTTTGGGTGAGCTTTTTAATAGTAAAGCCACCAATGAAAAATCATTTTTTTATATAATTAATTTCATTCCATTTCAACTTAAATAGTAATATTTTTAGCAAAAGTTTGATGATGTTTCATTCTACCAAATTACACGACCTATAATGCTAATCTTGAGCTAAAGATAAGGCAAAAACATATATATCTACCTAAATCAACCCAACACAAAAAAACACATACTGTAGTTTGTTTCACACTGAATGACGAGTGTTCTACTTCTCTGAAACTGTCGACTTTTTGTTTAGTGAATTGTTGATGATCGCATCAAACAACATACAAACGGATCACTTAAGATTCAGTCACAAAATTACAAGTCATTTCATCAAAAGAACACAAAAGAAAAAAGTAGTTATCACAATTCACAAAGATAAGTAGTAAATTACTCGGATAACTGATCCCAAACATTGACAATGAGCCATCCTTCAATGGCTGCAGCCTCAAGATGTTCTTCAGCCTCTGCCTCCTCCCATTTGGCCTCAATCGAATCCAGCTGACTCAAATCAGACCACAATACCCTGTGCGCCAATTCTCTTGTCCCAAGAAACTCAAGCACCAGAGTTCCACGGGCTTTCGCAGCCAATTTCCCAATGTTAATCGCATTTCTAATCTCAAGACCATGGTTTTCTCTGAGCAAGTTTAGGTCTTCTTCGATCTGCACTCCTACAAAAGTGACGAACTTGGAAGCAAAGAAACGGTACAGATCCTTGAGATTGTCGTGAAACGGTTTAGAAAGTCGAAGGAAGAGACATAGGTTTTTTGTGCTCAGCTTCACAGATGACAGACTCCATCCTGACGTTTTGGTTTTGGTTTCAGTTTCAGGAACTCCGACGTCCCAGTATACATCGAAAATCACGGCTCGGTTTCCATTCAAGATCGAATCTTCTCTTAAAAGTGAAAGGTACGGGGAGATGTCTCTTGATGATCCAACATCAATGGTCTTAGTCTGAACATAAGAGCCATCAGTCATCTTGAACTTTGGCCCATCAAAGGAGGCCATGTGATGAAGAACACTATTAAATAAATACACAAATCAAATGAGATAGAGAAACATTAGATTCAATTAGAAATCGACACAGTTGTAGCACAAACTAATCCCAATAGAATGAAAGATACAAACTTTACAATACAAATAGTAAGATAGTGAATCTAATCATTACTTTAGCACCAAAATGTATTCAGGAGTTGGAAAATGCATAAACATTTGGAGAAATTGGGTGAGGCAAGGACCACAAAATGAATGTAGCAATAATCTAAATAACGAATTGATCAATGTAAAATGTACACTACCTTTTTTGGGGGTTTGGCTACGATTGTTTTATTTCCCCTAGTTTCTAGAATTCTCAGCATCGTTGCGTGCATTAACAGATAACAAGGCAAGAGCGAGCAAATTAACTAATGCAGAAACAAAATTCATCGAGCTACAGTGATCAAATTCTCAGCTCCCTCCCTCTAACCCAAAACGATCGATCTCAGATATAAATTCCCCATATAAAAGAGACAGAGACATTAGCTACTGATGAGAAATTAAGATATGGAAGCAAGTAGAGACAGAGAAGAGGAGGAAGAACCTTGAAATATCGCTTCAGGCTATGTATGGAAGTAAACGGAGAGAGGAGGATTCTGCAGAAGAATAAATCCAAGCGATCAACTCATGTCTTTTAAGTTTTACTCTTGAGCTTGAGCTTTTGCTTAACCATACGTTTGTAAATTTAAGATGACTAATCCGGTTCAACCATAATCGAACCGATTTTATTTCAAAGGAAATTCTAGGTCTTTTGATTGTGATTTCAAACCAAAATCCAACCGGTTAGTTATCAACACCTCAATGTTTGTTTCTAGGGAGGTTGGACTTGTTTAATGCGATTCAGAGTTGCTTTTTCTTGGTTTTGATATTCCGCGTTCATGTGTGCATGTTTTTCTTCTTGTATCACAATTCACACTAATCATCAACAATAATTTTCTTAGGTTTGAGCTTAGATTGTATTTGTTGGGACAAGTGATGGAGACTGGAGCCAGACAACACTTCCCATTATCAATTGCCAAAACACATGTTAGCTCACAACCGCTATGATGGGCTTAGTTGATGCCAAAATGGTTGAGTTCATGAGGTACATTTCTACACATGAATGCTATCGTTTCACTATTTGAAATACTTACTTTTAAATTTCGTAACGCATTCAAATATTCAACAACTACTATTACCTACACTTGAATGATTTTAACAATTTCTAATTTTAAACTTCAATCACACCTAACTTGAATTAAATTTTTAGTCCATACTCAAATCCGGTTTAGTGTTACAACACAGGACCAAAACCAGAAAGTTATCAATAAGCTGGTCCATCTGAAAAAAGGAAAACAAAAAAACTTACCACACACAACAACAGGCTGATTCTGAATTCAGCACAGTTTCAAAGCCCATCAGCTCAGCTCCTTCGCCCACATTGTGTTATGTACCGCCGCTTCTACACAACCTACACACACAAAAGCCAAAGCTTACTCTCTCCTTTTACTTTAACAACAAATTCGCCGCTTATCGCCTCCGATCTTCTCTCTCACAATAGGTACGGTTTCGTCTTCTTCTTCTCCGATTCTCCTTTCTTCCTACAGATTCGTTCCTCGATTTATCGGAATTTATTTGTTTGTTATTCCAAGGCTTCTTTTGTTTATTTGTTGTATACGTATTCTCTTCAGTTACTCCATGGAACCATTCGTTGTAAAGGAGAACGTCATCGCATCTGCTTCTTCGTCGCCGATGAAGAAGCGACGGATCGATCACACTGACTCTACTAATTCTGATGGCTCTGCGATGCTCGTCTCTAACTCTACCGGCCTCGCTTTCAACAGCAGCACCGCTGGTGACGACACGCTGATGAGCATGGCCGAGTTTGGTGACAACAACTCCAACAATCATGAGATCGACGAAGATCTTCACAGCAGGCAGCTCGCTGTTTACGGCCGCGAGACTATGAGGAGGCTTTTCGCTTCCAACGTTCTCATCTCTGGGATGCAAGGCCTTGGCGTTGAGATTGGTAACGCTTTTTGTAACCTCCGTTTCTAATTTGCTCATTCTTTCGTTGCTGATTCTCACTTGCATGTTACTAATCTACTTGTCCTGCTGCTTATTAAAGAGCTTCAAGCTTGAGCAAACGTATTCCTTGATTAAGCTGTTTGATTTTGTGTGTACCTTTGGGCATTTGAAGTCGTGCTTGTAATATTGGTATATTAACTTGTTAATTCCTGATTCCCTGATTAGTTAGTGAGGCATTATATAACGGAAAGCTTATTCACTATATTTGTAATGAACTAATGACTGATTTATGTCTTCTTTCTCTTCGTCATTTCCTTCTTTGTAATGGATGATTTTTATTTTTTTCTTATTTAGCCAAGAATATTATTCTCGCTGGTGTGAAGTCAGTGACTCTTCATGATGAAAATGTGGTTGAGCTATGGGACTTATCTAGTAACTTTGTCTTCACGGAGGAGGACATTGGTAAGAATAGGGCACTTGCTTCTGTTCACAAGTTGCAAGAACTCAACAATGCCGTAGCTGTCTCAACTTTGACTGGGAAGTTAACCAAAGAGCAGCTTTCTGATTTCCAGGTATCCAAACCCTTCCTTTATTTGGTTTATCTTCATTTTCTAGTTCTAGTTGTCAGTAATATTTTGATGATTTGTCCGAGAAATTATATACAAAAGATAAAGAGCTGAGTGAACTTGATGAAAATGTTTCTACAAAAAGTACAAAGTGTTTAGTTTGTTCATATCTTTCTCAATAAATAGTGTCTGATCTCTTTTTCTCTCTTTGATGCAGGCTGTGGTATTTCTGGATATCTCTTTTGAGAAAGCGACAGAGTTTGATGATTATTGTCATAGTCATCAGCCCCCTATTGCATTCATCAAGGCTGATGTTAGGGGCCTGTTTGGGTCTTTGTTTTGTGATTTTGGACCTCATTTTACTGTTCTTGATGTTGATGGGGAGGAACCACACTCTGGTATCATTGCTTCAGTTAGCAATGAAGATCCTGGATTTGTATCGTGTGTCGATGATGAGAGGCTCGAGTTTGAGGATGGAAATCTTGTCGTTTTCTCTGAAGTTGAGGGGATGACAGAGCTAAATGATGGAAAACCAAGGAAAATTAAAAATGTGAAGCCGTATTCATTTACCCTCGAGGAAGACACCACTAACTATGGGGGATATATAAAAGGTGGCATTGTGACTCAGGTCAAACAACCAAAGGTGCTGAATTTTAAACCTCTTAGAGAAGCACTTAAAGATCCAGGCGACTTTCTCCTAAGTGACTTTTCAAAGTTTGACCGGCCACCTCTTCTCCACTTAGCATTTCAAGCACTTGATAAGTTTTCATCTCAAGCAGGCCGATTTCCGCTTGCTGGTTCAGAAGAAGATGCTCAGAAACTAGTGGAAATTGCAACTGATATTAATGAGAGTTTGGGTGATGCAAGGTTGGAAGATGTCAACTCTAAACTATTGCGGCATTTCGCTTTTGGATCCAGGGCTGTTCTGAATCCTATGGCTGCAATATTTGGTGGCATTGTTGGGCAGGAGGTTGTCAAGGCATGCTCTGGGAAATTCCATCCTCTCTTTCAGGTAAAGACTCTGTTTGAATATTTAGGGCCACATCACACATCTGTTTAGTCTTTGTATGTTAAACGTCCACTTCTTGACAAATCTTTTCTTCTATGCTATATAGCCATGTACTCAAGCCTATACCTGGTCTAAAAGTTTCGTCTTATTAATATTATTTCTGCTGTACTTGGTATTTGGGTAATGAGTTTATACATTATTTGTGCAGTTCTTTTACTTTGACTCGGTGGAGTCACTCCCCAAGGAACCTCTTGATGCATCAGAGTTTAGACCACAAAATAGCCGTTACGATGCACAGATCTCTGTATTTGGGTCTACTCTGCAGAAGAAGCTCGAGGATGCCAGGGTTTTCGTTGTAGGGGCTGGTGCTCTTGGATGCGAGTTCTTAAAGAACTTGGCTTTGATGGGTGTGTCATGTGGCACGCAAGGAAAACTAACTGTCACCGATGATGATGTGATTGAGAAGAGCAACCTGAGTCGTCAGTTTCTCTTTCGAGATTGGAACATAGGACAGGCTAAATCCACAGTTGCCGCAACAGCAACAGCTGGAATAAATTCGTGTCTCAACATTGATGCTCTGCAAAACCGTGTTGGACCCGAGACCGAGAATGTCTTTGATGACAACTTCTGGGAGAATTTGACAGTTGTCGTCAACGCGCTAGACAATGTTACTGCAAGGCTTTATGTTGATTCAAGGTGTGTGTATTTCCAGAAGCCTCTCCTTGAGTCAGGAACCCTAGGTGCGAAGTGCAACACACAGATGGTTATCCCTCATCTCACTGAAAACTATGGTGCCTCAAGAGACCCACCAGAGAAACAAGCCCCGATGTGCACTGTGCACTCATTTCCTCACAACATTGACCATTGCTTGACATGGGCTCGCTCTGAATTCGAGGGTCTGCTTGAGAAGACACCAGCTGAAGTTAATGCCTACCTTTCAAATCCTATTGAATACATGAAAGCGATGAGAACTGCTGGTGATGCTCAGGCTAGGGATACTTTGGGACGTGTTGTTGAGTGCCTCGAGAAAGAAAAGTGCAATTCATTCCAGGATTGCATAACTTGGGCCCGTCTGAGGTACTCTCTCTTGGCTCAGACCTTTCATTGAGACTATAAAATTCTGATTCTCATCTCTTAACATAAGTGCTTGCTTACAGGTTTGAGGACTACTTCGCCAACCGTGTGAAGCAGTTGTGTTACACATTTCCCGAGGACGCTGCTACTAGTACAGGAGCTCCATTCTGGTCTGCCCCAAAGAGGTTCCCTCGTCCGCTCCAATTCTCTCCAACCGACCTGAGCCATATCAATTTTGTTATGGCTGCATCTATCTTGCGTGCAGAAACATTCGGAATCCCTACTCCGGAATGGGCTAAAACCCCAACGGGACTAGCAGATGCTGTGGAAAGAGTGATTGTTCCCGACTTTGAGCCGAGGAAAGATGCAAATATTGTGACAGACGAGAAGGCTACAACTTTGTCTACAGCTTCAGTCGATGATGCAGCAATCATCGATGAACTAATCGCAAAACTAGAGCGGTGCAGGCTGAGCTTGCAGCCAGAGTTCAGGATGAAGGCAATCCAGTTTGAAAAGGTGAATCATAATTGTATCCAACTTTATTTACAAATTCTGTATTTTGACTACCACAGGAAAAAACTAACATTATTATGCTGTTCGTAGGATGACGATACCAACTACCACATGGATATGATCGCTGGGCTAGCCAACATGAGAGCAAGGAACTACAGCGTACCCGAGGTGGACAAACTTAAAGCCAAGTTCATAGCCGGAAGAATCATACCCGCAATTGCAACATCAACTGCAATGGCAACAGGTTTTGTCTGCCTTGAGCTGTACAAGGTCCTAGACGGGTCACACAAAGTGGAAGACTACAGAAACACATTTGCTAACTTAGCACTTCCACTCTTCTCCATCGCTGAGCCAGTTCCACCTAAAGTGGTGAAGCACCAAGACCAAAGCTGGACTGTTTGGGACCGGTGGGTGATCAAGGGAAACCCGAGCTTAAGAGAATTGCTAGAATGGCTAAAAGAGAAAGGATTAAACGCATACAGCATATCATGCGGAAGCTGTTTACTGTTCAACAGCATGTTCCCAAGGCATAAAGAGAGGATGGACAGGAGAGTGGTGGATCTTGCAAGAGACGTGGCTATGGTTGAATTGCCTGCTTATAGACGTCACGTGGATGTTGTAGTCGCTTGTGAGGATGAGAATGAGGACGACGTTGACATCCCTCTCGTATCAGTCTATACTACGGCTGATTAAAGGATATTAACCACATCCCCAAAGAGAGAAAGCTTTTAGTAATTACAGTATTCTTGGGATGTGAAAGTTGGGTATCAGTGATAGAGAGAGTTTTGTATGAGAGATTGAATAGTTAACACCTTAAATTTAGAATTGAGTTTTCAAATTTGGCTTTTTAGCTTATTTAATACAAAAATAGACGATTAACGGATTAAGCAAGTCCTGACACAAAACGTTTTACAAAGTTAAAATCAGATAGTTATTATAACTTTAAACTACGTACAAAGAGGACATTTCACAAGCCCATTCTCGTTACATTCTCTGCATCTCGTCCACACCTTATCATTATTACTACTCTCTTCAACGTGATGATCCACAAGCACCTTCGAGCTTCCATTACAGCTAGAACATATCAGAAACCGTTCGTTCTCGCAAGATTCGCAAGGCGAGTCAACCTGCGAGATTCCTTGTAGAAGCTTCTTAAGCTTACCGTTCTCGTTCAATGCCACGACTTCTTCTGCTCCTCCAATGTACCTACCTCTGATGAACAGCCTCGGAGAGGTAACTTTCCCACCAAGCAACCTCCACATCTCTTCTCTAAACTCTGAATCCATGGAAACATCTCTCTCTCTAAACATCACCTTGTGATTCTCCAACAAGAATCTCACTCTTCTGCAAGCTTCAAATGTTTTCCTCACTCCTCGCAGGCCCGTGGTGTAGAATACAACCGAGTCTTCTCCTCCGGGTGGGCAGTTCTCTTCAAACTCCAAAAGAAGCCCTCTTTCTTCTTCAAGACTCTGTTCCTCTGCATCCTCAAGCTCCAGTAGTGTTGGTGTAACACAACTTTTGCTTTGACCAGACTCAGCGACTATTTCGTCTCTTAGGTGATGGATTGTGCGATCAATGTTACTCTTATGAAGAGCTAAGCCGTGCTTCAACGTCTTGACAGTGGTGATGAGTTTGATTTTCTTCACCAATCTTTCCTTCATTCCCTTCATTGCTTAGCAAAAACTGGATCCACAGTTCAAGAATCTGAGAAGAGGGTGAAGAGATTGAATCCTGATGAAGATAAGATCGGGTACACCAAAGAAAACAACAAGTAATGGGTTTATCGTTTTCAGGTTTCTTGTTTGGTTAACGTGTGGGTACCCAATTTAGATGAATAAAGTTTTCAAAAGCCACTTTCTGGGTTAGCTTTCAAAAGTCTTTCTTGATGGGTATTCATCAGAACGAAAAGAAAAGGAAAAAAAGTCTCTTTGTTTTGTTTTTGTTTGATGGGTCATTGCTACTACCAATAATGTAGATGATAAAACTCACACCTCAATTACAGAAGACAAAACACTCATGAGTAATGATTTTACCCAATCAACCCAAATTTGCTTGATCGATAAAAAAAAAAACAAAAACCAAAAAGGAAGAAGCTATAATGAGCTTTAAGAATTATACATCTTTCTGGTAAGAGTCATTGATTGATTTAGAATTGTATAGTCTGGTAAGAATGATAATGCCTGTCTTGTCTTTTACAATTCTTGAAACGTGCAATGATGTAATATTGGTAAAGTAGCTTAGCTTTAGCTAGCTTGCAAAATTCGAATTAGTCAAATATCTGTTTAATCATATATCTGGTCTGATTTACTTTTCGCATTACATACTTTAATTAATGATGGTTGAGACTAGACATTGTCAATTATACCGTTTCAAGCGCATTTGACTGATGCTGATGCAATAAGACCAGGTGATATCTTATAATTCACATTGGTGTCCAAAAAAACAAAAGGAGCACATTAAGGTCTGACCTAACCGATATTAGCAAGAATAACAATTAGTCTAAACTACCTATACAATCACCAATGCAGGTGAAGTTGCTCTATATGTCAGCCACGGATGATCTGAGTCCAATGTCGAACGAGAATTTAATGCATGTTAACTCCTTCTGCGCATCAAGCATCTTCATTTTCAGCAAGTATGAACCCTGCAAGAGAGGTAAGCGTAGAATCTGTTATCTTCCGGTTTTTTGGTACAAGATTTTCCACGGTAATATGCAACATTAACATATTGAAACCAAGTCATTTTATGTCTTCATGTGTTATCTGATACCAAGGTAAGCCTTATCTATATCTATTCTGAATAGATTGCAACAAATTCTTTGAATTGAAGCTTGAAACGAAAGCTAAACTAATGGAACTTACAGGAGGAGTATAGCCAGGAAGAACTTGAGAGTGTGAAACCAAGAAATCACCGGACTGTATAGGACAAGTTGTCTCAGTGCAAAGGTCATGAGTCTCAGAGTGAACATGCCATCCAAAGTATGAAACTTCAATCACCAGCTTCCCAGACGAAATCTCACGGCCTTTTGTAAATCACCCCAAAACAATGAAACAAAGGAATCACATCATAAACAGAATGTTGTTAAGACTCTCTGGTAATTAAGAAGCAAGACCACATGAGTACAAACATCCTCAGCATCAGATCAAATTGTCTTTCTATCATAACAAACACTGATCATCAGCTACATACACAAGATCTATGTATCATTGGTATCATCAATATAACCACGAAATCTTCAGATAAAGAGAAGTGTTGTTAAGAACAGGAAAGAACAAAACCTGTGTTGGCAGAGATGGTGAAGGTAGCTGGCTCGCCTGGGGATATTGGATTAGGCGATATATCAACCTCTTTTACTTTTACTTCATACTCTGCATTCTTCTCTACAAATCAAATCATCAGGCAGAACACAAGTGAGACTTCAAAAAATCCAAAATTTCCCAGAAAAAAAAAAAAATCAAATTTTTACACCGAGTTATATGAGTGAAAAGTAAAAAGCATCGAACTTGAGAGATCGAATTCAATCAACCATAGTAAAAATATTGTCTCAATTGAAAAACACGTACCACAGTAATGGACATCGATGGCTCGAACAACCGGTGAAACAAGGAGGAAGAGAGAAATAGCGAGAGGAAGAATGGCGAAGATCCTCGACATGATTGATAGAGAATCTATCTGAAGCTATGAGGAAGGTGATGATCAAAGCAACAGCAGCAGCAGAAGAAGCAGAGTGGGAGTTGCAGAATGAATCTTCTGATTCTTTATATTTTTTCTTCAAGGAGTGTAGGGAGAGATCTGGACCGTTATTTTCAGCTAGGTCAATGTTTCTTGTAACGGACGGCTCGATTTCGTTAAGCAAGTTGTTTGGGTGTGAATGTAGGATAAACTCATTAACATGCATTGCTTATTTGAGTCATTATCATATTTTAACTACACTTATCTTTTACATTTTTTTTTAATAATAAATTTTTGAATTTTCTGATTTTCTTTTAATGCAAACAGTCTTATAGTTTATACAATTATTATTTATAAATAAATTGGACTTTAATATAGATATTATTATTATTATTATTTTATTTTATTTTAATATATACATAACTATTTTAGATCTTCGATTTGACTAGCCAAACAATCTATCAAATAAATTTGTTTATCGGTTGTCTCGTCCTTCACCATTTTTTTTTTTATTTTTTTTTTAGAAAAAAAAAAAAGAAGGAAACCAATCGTGGGCCGCCACGTGTCAGTGGGGCCCGCGATTAGTGCGCAGGACCGTCCTGTTTTTGTTGCCGTCGCACCATTTTTTTTTTTTTCTTTTTTTTTTCATAAAAAATGATGAGGGACTTTGCCAACTGACGCCAATAAACATGCCCTAAGAGTATCTCCAAAGGGAGCTTCTAATTTTAGGGTGTTAAAATATTTTTAATTAAATTTAATGATTAATAAAAATATGTTGAACTCTAAAAAAATGTTTAATTTTTGTTCTTCCAATGGTGAACTCAATAAAGAGTTCTAAAAAATAAATATTTAAATTTTTATTAATATAATTTATTTTTGAAAATATATAAGAACAAAATTATATTACATTACTTGAAATACAAAATATACAAAATTTAAAGTGATTGAAATAATACAATGTTTAGTTGAAGAAGAATAATTATGTGAGAGAGAAAGAGAGTATAACGGAGGGTTGGAATTTTTTTTTTTTCTTCTGCAGTATTTAGCCATTAAAAACAGGATACTTGGCCTTAAGGAGCGATGTTTCTGCTGCTTCAATAAGGGGTATTCCTAATAATTATACCACATTTATTTTTATTTTTAATCACTTAATTCTTATGAATACTTCTAATTTTTGTTTTAGAGACTGCCTTTGGAGGTGGTCTAAAGATTACTTTAGAGTTCTTCTTTCGCATATTGCCATATTATATTACCCCTCGTAACGAACGATTAGGTAGATTTAAGTTAATTTCTTTTATAATCTCAATTGGTTTGGCACCGAATAAAATAGAATATGACTTGCCAACTTCGACTAGAGCTAAAATACTTATTTTTCTTATTCTTTTTTTTTGGTGAACTTATTTTTCTTATTCTTGTCAACCTTTTCCTGAATTATTATTTATGAATATAAACTTTCACCTCTTTCCAAAAAATAATGAACGTCTTTTTAAAAAAATAAAAAATATATTGAACGTCTTGCTCCACTTCTTCTTTGTTTAGTAGTTAGAAGAGTATATAATTCATGTTTGTGCAGAACCAAATAAAAAAACGTGAAACTTTACAGCTTAGAGATAGATTTATGTATATATATACATATATATACTATACTCTATAAAAAAATGTCAACAATAATTTCTTTAAAACAACGTAACCAAGTCAAATATCCATCATTGGCCGGCGGGAAAAGGGAACAACGTCAGCACCAGGTGTTATCGCCGGCGACGGTAACGGAGACGTACGGCAAACGGGACACGTGGGATGAAGCCTAAGCCAAGGGTCGACGCACTTGTCGTGGAACAAGTGGTTACAATCGGGCAAAACCCTGATCATGTCCGTCTTCTTGTAATCCGCAAGACATATAGAACAACACGACGTCGTACTCGGTTCCCTTTGCAAGCCATAGATCACACGAGCCTCTTCGTAAAGAAGCATAGGAAAACTCTTGATCACCTCATCGTTTAGCCCCGAGACTTCGACCACGACGGTGTCGTTTTCTAAGTAGAACCGTTCTTGGCCAGGTGCGTTGGCCTCTCTTTGCAGGCGTCTTGTCCTTGGAGTTGTCGTGGGAGAAGCTGAGATATGGCTTCGAGTGCAATAATAAGAAGTGAGGGTGATTGTGGTAATCAGCATTAGTATACCAATGGAGACTCCGATACCGTAAGCTAATCCGCCCATCCTATCGGTGGTTGTTAGCCAGTGGCCGGAGTCATGTGGCACCACCGTCGCGTTCATTGCGGCGGTCAGATTGTGATTTTTAGTCGTCTGAAGATAATGATGGGTATTACGAGGACAGTAGTGAATGTTTTGGGGGAGAATGTAATATGTTTTTGGTCATCACGATGAAGACGTTCCGGAGTCAACGATAAGATGTAGTATTTTCATAATATAGCTTTCTTCAATTTGTTTTGTTTAGTAGTATTTGGTAGGATGAATTTACATAATATTAACAAATAATGGACCAGTGGGCGTTATTTTTATTTTATTATTTAACTTTTACACATTCAAATTATCATTGAGGCTTTAATCGTATCATTTATTAGAGGCTAGTAGTCAATCATAGATTTTATTAATTATAAATATATATCCACTGTAATCCATTGTTGTTATTCAATAGTTTGTTTTAAATTATACAATATAGTTCTTATAGCATTACTGCCATAAACATGGTTTAGCATGGATGAGGTGATGATGTTAGCTTTTAGTTATCTTGAACTAATTAGTCATGTTTTTGGACGAAATGATGCATTTTGCAATTGATTTCCCTTGTTAGTATTAGTTCAGTAACTTATTTAGCAATCATTGTTTTTTTCTTGTTGATTCAGCATTCAGCAACATACGATACGACGTACAACGTTATTGATATATTTATACAATCTAGCTAGCTAGCTTATGACAAATTAATCGTTCTATATATATCTTATTCAACAGAACATATTTATTGCGTAAAAAAACATATATTTGCTGTTATCTATGCAGCCATGCAGGATTTTTGATCAAGAGAGAGTTCGCCTCTCCACAAAAAAAATGTTACTTATTATAAAATGATATACTTTAGTACAATTAAGATTTATACGATTATTTGAATTCACGATGTATTTTATATGTATTCACAAACATTAAAACAACTCTCATCTTATAAATAAATTCCCTCTAATTAATAATTTTCCTAGGTCTCCATGCATGGACAACACTAATATATATCGCCCTGCTGTTCGGAGTGATACACTGAATCAATGATCACACATTCACACGAGTGTGGGTGAAATTAGCATATGCTACGGCAATATCGTCGTCCGTCTATCGAACGCTGCAAAAAACATTTTTTTTGTTTCTTATCATACATTAACGACACAGTGAATATTTTAGCTGCATTGTATCCTTTTTATCTTCTTGGATGCCTTTTTATTTTTAGCATACAAAAAATGTATTTATCCTTGTTATTAAATTAAATAAAACACAAAACAGAAAATTTATAATAAAAAAGTGATGAATGGTGATGCTACTTAAAATACAATTGAGATATTGTTAAAAAAAACATAGAAAATCTACATGAGTATATGGTAATTAATAATATAGAGGAGGAAACAAAAAATAATTAGATACAATATCAATACCAGGACGCGGTTTTGACACGCAACGACCCTAATGTTTGCTTTTACAAAGTTTCCTAGAAATCTATGCAACATTATTTGACTCAAAACGTGTGGAGATAATTTCAAGTTATTACATTCCTTATATATTATCTTTGGTTTTTCCTATATATAAGATAACTAGGATTCTCTTTTTACAAACACACACACAAAAGAAAAAGAAAAGAAAAGAAAAAACATAAAATATGGGAAGAAAAAGATCGTTGACCTTGAATTGGGCCACTCAGAGAGCAAGGAGAGCCAACATTAAAACGAGGCTTTCCAAACTCATCAAGAAAACAAATGAGCTCACGATCCTTTGCGACGGGAGAGCTTGTCTCATGGTGAATGATCGCGAGGATGATCAACTTGTAGTGTGGCCATCTACCCAAGAGGCGCAACCACTCGTGGAAAACTTATACTCTTTCACAGAGCATGAAAGAGACCCGAAGGCTGCTGATCCGGAGTCATCCATCGAGACCATTAGCTAAAAGATTGAGAAGAAAATAGCCGATACTCGAAAGGCTATTGAGAAATTGGAGATGGATCATCTCATTTTTGAACTCAGTCGTGGTGGTCGTGAACTTGCTGATACTTCCATAACCGAGATCGATAAATTGCTATCATATATTGATAAGCAAATTATGTCTTTCAGGGTGCAGATGGATCTTAATCAAATGAGTGTCGGCGAGGCATGTCCTGAAGATGAGACCGTGAGAGATTCAAATGTTCCATCTGTTGGGTGGGTTGGGAATGGTTCTAACGTGATGGACACGACAAGTGTTTGTTATGATGATGACTGGGGGGTCCCTGGTGAGACTCGTTTACCCAAAATGGCCGCTAAATTTAACCTAAATATGGAACCATCTAATGTTGGTGAAGAAGACTTTGGAGGGACCTCTAAAAGAGAGAGCATCACGAGTGCTGGTGGTGCTGAAAAGTCCAATGTTCCATCTGCTGGGTGGGCCGGGAAAAGTTCAGACGTGATGGAAACTACATGTGTTTGTTATAATGACAACCGGAAGGTCTCCGGTGAGACTCGTTTACCCAAAATGGTCATTGAATTTGATCTAAACATGGAACCATCTGATGTTGGTGAAGAAGACTTTGGAAAAACCTCTAAAGAAGAGAGCATTACGGGTGCTGGTGGTGCTGAAAAGTAAAGACGATATCCAGTGAAACTGTCGTCGAAGTCCACTTGACAATGCATGTATCTTAAATTCTTTTCTTCAAATATTGTTGGTCTTTTTATTATCATTGTTTCTTGCTCGTTTCCTATCTCTACTTTCAAAGTTTTGGTCATATTTTTCATGTCTCTTGATTTGTATCAAAGTCGTGTGCTAACCGTTTGTCATGTCAAATTAATTTTAATCAAATATTTTTTTATTTACTATTCTATGTCATTTGAAAAACTTATCCGTATTAAAAAGCATGTATTGCTAATTAATTATTTTATTAAAAATATCGTACTCTACCATTGGTATGCACATACAGTTAGATGGATTG